ACCAAGGGACTTACAGAAACACAGTTTAATGATTTTTCACTCTTCTAGGTGAGGATAAAGTCGCCAAACACTACATCACCAGAATATACACTGTATTTTTAACACAGTCCATCTGCTTCGTCCACTGTTTTCTTTAGTGAGAGGTTTGTGTATTTGCTGGTGAATTACACTGGCCTCAGTTACATTAAGGCTCCAGCTCTGCTGCTTTGGTGCCAGAGAGATAAAAACTCTCTCCAAGTGTCAAAACTTCCTGAGTCATCGCGACACTGCCTGGTAAAAAGAGTCACTTACAATACCCTCCAAAACAGGGTCTCTCCAAAATGGCATGTTCATCACACAGAATCAATTTCTCCCGGCTGATTCAAGGCTGGTGCTGAGAGTGTTATGTTACAGTTACACTACATCAGAGCCAAGCTGAGGCGAACAGATTTAAAGGAACAGTTACTCAAAAATATCACGTTTCTGGCACTGCATGACAGTAATGTCATCTTTAAAAACTGACAAGCTTACATTGCATAGCTAAAAACAACATCAACAGCCATCTTGAAGCAATCTTCATCCATTCAAAGCAAGAGCAAAGCAAAACGTGTACAAAAAGCACTGTAGAGAAATCCTGAAGCCTGAGTTTTGTCTGTACTTCAGTCCATGTTTATAGTTAACAGTACGACACACTGTGTCAGAAACCACATAATATAGACTATCAGAGATTATCTAAAAATCTCCAGCCATTATTCAAATTTTTTGCATAATTAAATGGTTTGATTAAGTGGTTTGGTGTGAAAAGCTCTGTTCTAGATAAACTTACCGAGTCAGAATTGCTCACAGTGGTGGTGATAGGAACCAGACGTCCACCTCTAAAAGCTCCTCACAGAAAGTTCCTACATGAAATGGTTATGAATTCACCGCCTGATGACTGAGACACTGTTTTATGATAGTTTTGGGAAGAATTTGGCCTCAAAATATGTATTTAAAATGGAGGAGATCTTTATGCAAGTCAAAATAGTCCCCCAAAAACATATTATTTCAGATTTTTCACCATTTCACCATCATCAATATTCCATTAAAAAAGCTCAGAAGACTCGTGTAGGTTCACTGGTGGTTCTGGATAGTAAATAAAATGTCTATATTTGTGTTGTAGTCATGGCGACCCCTGGTTCCTATCACCACCACTGTAAAGACATCTGAACCATTTCACACCAAACCACTCTCAATCTCTCTGTTTACATCTTACTATTGAACTATTGCTGTATTATACAACAGTTAGTTCCGGCCACACAAGCTGATTGGTTGAGAGGCGTTCTAACTGTGGTGATATTTCACCATAACATCAAACAGAAAATGGACACTTTTAAGATCACATTTGACCGACAGCTGATTTGGTCAGACTCTGAAGATGAGACACCATTCGCCCAACGTGTAGTCTGATCTTCAGAGTCTGACCAAATCGGACTGAGACATAAAACTGCCACAATATCAAGTTTAGCTCAGTTTTTTGCCAGATCAGTATTAATGTTGTTTTGTTCCAGCCAGTCTGTAAAGCATCTTACAGCCCATTTAGTTTGGCGAATGGTGTTGGGTTCATTTCTGGCTGATTCCAGGTTGTTTAGCTGTTCTTCTGTCACAGCTGTCGACTGAAAAGCTGCTCAGTGGTGATGACAGTTTGGGAGTTTAGTGTGAGGAGCTGGAGAACGAACTGCCGGCTGTGCAGCGAGTGGGCGGAGCTCGTTACTCTGACGTAGCAACGAGCTGCTCGTTAAGGAACTATAATTTGGTGAAGGAACTGCGAACATTAAAACATATTAAACGCCGCGTTCATGGCCCAGTTTATTAATTTATTACTGTATTTATTTAACTGTTGTATTAAAGCAGTAGAACACTCGAGGAGTGTGTTATCGCCAATAACATCACGGCTGTGATGATCTACTGTGACCAAATCACAGCCGTGATGTTATTTCGTGAAAACGCACTCCCTCTGTGTTCTACTGCTTAAATGACATACAGACAGCTTTTGATTCCCTATACTGAGCCATATACTAACCACGCTCAGTCCTGTAAGGGCTCATATCCTGCGTTTTCTGTTTTATTTTTCCTCCTGAGGGCCCTTTAAGGAATCCCAGAAAAGTCTTCAGGTGGACGCTGGGAGGTGAAGAGGTTATTAATTCCTGTGAACAGCTTCAGAAAGAAAGGGTCCATTCAGTCCAACACCGGCGGAACAGGCTGTGTGTGCGCCAAGGTTACTGCGGCCCAGGACAAACCCACCCGTCCACCAAAAAACACCGTCTTTGCAGCACCTGCACCCAAACACGGGTAAACAAAGGAGCCTGAACTGCCCTTATACTCTCACAGTTATGTCCAGATTCCCCCTCTTACCTCAAACATGGTCAACCAAGACACATTAGGGGTCAAAACTTCGCTTCTTTAGTTTTAGCACTGAAGCCACGAGGCTAACATAGCTAACACATACTGGAAGCTTCAGTTAGCATCGTGCTAACCGCATGCTTAAATCATCACTCGCCTCAGTGAGAAAGGGTGAAACAAAACACATGTTTTTGAAATGTACACTCTCAAAAAGGACGGTTCTTCAAGGATTCTTTAGTAAAGGGAATGGTTCTATTCAGAACCATGAGTTCTATGTAGAACCTTTTTGAAAATGGTTCTATGTAGCACCAAAAAGGGTTTGTGTACTGTTACGATGTCAGCTTGTATACAATAGAAAAAGAACCATTTTTGGTGCTGTATAGAACCATTAACAACACATTCTCCATCAATCTGAAGAACAATTTCACCATGCAAAGAACCATTTAAGCATGAAATGGTTCTATATAGAACATGGCTTTACTAAAGAACCGTTTAAGAGCCATCTTTTTTTAAGTGTACATATTTGAAATAAAAGCATTGATAAGATTTTCTGGGATTTGGTAGCGTCTCGTCATTGTCCAAACAAACAAACAAACAAACAAACAAACAAACAAACAAACAAACAAACAAACAAACAAACAAACTTGTCTCCATTGTTAGTCCTTCAGACTGTGTGAATGGAAATAAAACCTCTTTACACTGACTTACATTAAAACTTACATAAAAATAGTACAGCTACTATTTTGGAGACTTATTTTTGTTCGGACAGTGATGATAAGCTAACATTGCTAAATTGTTCACAGTGGTGGTGATAGGAACCAGACGTCCACCTCTAAAAGCTCCCTCACAGAAAGTTCCTACATGAAATGGTTATGAATTCACTGCCTGATGACTGAGACACTGTTTTATGGTTGTGTTCAGAAGTCTTTGGCCTTCAAACATGTATATAAAAAATGGTGGAGATGTATGTGCAAGTCAAAATAGTCCGATTTTCCACTATTTTCCCATCATCAACATTCCATATAAACTCAGAAGACTCGTGTAGGTTCACTGGTGGTTTTGGATAGTAAATAAAATGTCTATATTTGTGTTGTCATGGCGACCCCTGGTTCCTGTCACCACCACTGTAAAGACATCTGAACCATTTCACACCAAACCACTCTGAATCTCTCTGTTTACATCTCAAACACTGAATTATGCAGATGCTTCTTAAAAATTCATATTTAAGCAAAAGCATGGAAGCTATGTGGGCATAAATTTCAGGCTGGTAACATAGAAAATGTTTCTTTGCCTGATTAAAATCTGCATTTAGATCCATTTTTGAAAAGATACATTTCTATAAATACATTATAATCCCAATAAACATGTTCTGCTGCACTTCTGCCCATGCAGCTGCACTGTACGCACGCGTATATGTGTGGAATGATAATGAAGGCACAGCTTTGGAGCAGCCGCTATCAGTCATCGCTGCAAATTAGCACGCAATCCGCCTCCACGGAGCACCAATCAATCTAAAGGATCAATACATACGCCAGTGGGAGAAGACCACCCTAAAGAGGCCTGCGCTGGAGACGGCAAATAGAGTGATGCAGTGTAATTCCATCACAGCCCATCCACACCTTTCGTATTTCACTCTTTCCTTTGACCACCTCATCAATTATTCATCTGTTATATTATTGATCTCGTTCTCTGCAACTGTCTCCACTTCATCCACACTTTCCACCAGTTTTTCTCTATTTCCACACCTCTCTCTCTCTCTCTCTCTCTCTCTCAGCTAAGCCCCATGTGCACACATCAGAAACAGAAAGACAAACCTGCCATTTCACACAGCCATGATGAATAATCCCAGTCTACAGCAACCAATCAGAAATCTCTCGTTCCTCCACACCGCCTCATTTACAGAAACATGAAATGGGATTTTTCTGAAGGTGACGCTCCCCGGCACCCAGATGTGAGCAGCCTGCAGCAGCTGGATCCTCCAGTGATCCTGAATCCAGGCACATCTCAGGCTTTCCCATGTTGAAATACATTATCACAACACAGCACAACATCATGACACCAATAACTTGCTCAACCATGAATGAAAACGAATATATACTCTAATATTACTCATACATACGCAGGCAGATGTTCGTTTCTATAGGCTTATATATAAATTACATGGAATAGTGCAACACTGGACTGCCCACAAATGTCAAATCTGGCCGCATCTGCTGTTTTCAGTGGCCCAACCCATCCAGTCACGTTAACCCAGACCTACAATTATAAAAATAACTGCTTTATTTATATGACTGCACATGCAAAGTTGCATGCCAGCCTTATCAATATTATATGGGTACCACATCTGTATTGCTGATATAATGCTAATAAACAAAGGTGGCTTATAAAGGTAGGCAGCCCACACAAGTGAACCACGCATTAAAGCAAAGCACATGTTCCCACATTTGTATGTCCATGTAAAGGCATTACTGCTTGTTTACCACTCATATCATCAGTGATGATGAGTAATAGACCCATTAAGTAGCTCAGTTTAGAGTTCATCAACAACAGCATCATTTTTGAGCATAACTAAGACCTTTTAAAACATATGGATGGTCTATTTTCAGCATAAATCATAAGGAAAAACCCTTTCAGATCCTTACCGTGTTGTTCTAGGTGGATGTTGAGCTCCAGGCTGCTCCTCAGCTTGTCCTTCACCACACGTTGCTCACGCTGTTATATTATATTTTTCAGAGGCGCTCCGTCCCGCCCCTCCGCACCGATTGGTCCACGGAAATAACACAATTACTCGCCAAAACGTACAATTTTATCTACGACAGACGAAAAATGAACACGTTTATTTTAAATGTAAACATTCCTGAAGACAATCGCGCTCATTTCGCATGACAAATAATTGAAACAAAAGAAGGCGCTGACAAGGTGAAAGCTATGATTGGCCGAACGGCACGTCAATCACTTTAGTCACGCCAATGAGAGCCAGCGCTGGGAGTTGTAGTCTTTTCCCCTATATGCGTCGCTCTTGTACGCGTCGGAAAAACTACACCCCTCTGTGTCTCCACCTTGCGAACGGTATTCATAGAAAAAAACAGATCCTCCCTTATTTTGTGGATTTTGGTCATGCAGAAAACTTCCGTCTTTGGTCAGAGAGAAAAGGTTTAGAGTTTCTGGAGATAAACGGGGGACAAGAGGAGGATTCAGCTCAGTACAGCAGGTATGAACTACCGTTAACGTAGCGGTTGAGCTCAGCTAGTAAACGCGGCTAGAGCTGCATCAGCTGGCACTAATTTAAATTTAAGGTAGCCGGTTAGCTTTGTTAGCCAGTAGGCTAACTTAGCTTCACGACCCCACAGTGACAAAGTCACTCGCTGTAACCGCGTTTTTGACTCCTTTTTGGCTTTACTGCGATGTTTAAGACGCGTTCAACGACAAAACCTTGACGAAAGTACATTAGAAGCCACCGAGCTGTGTTAGCTAAGCTGGTCGAGCGTCCAAAGCGGCTAAACTAGCTTAGCATTCGTGTTTGGTTGATGTTATCTGGGCTGGCGGTGGCAGAGAGAAGTCATCGAAGGAAAACGGGTTTCCATATCTAGAAATTAAATTTCACTTCTTTTAAATGTAGTTTTATTTCAACAGAATGGTAACTTGACGTTAAAAGCACGCCTTTCTTGTTTCTACGCTCATTGTCCGGTTTATCAGCTCCACTGACCACATAGGAGCACTCTGTAGTTCTACAGTTACAGACTGTAGTCCATCTGTTTCTCTGCATACTTTGTTAGCCCCCTTTTACCCTGTTCTTCAGTGGTCAGGACCCCCACAGGACCGTCTTTCAGCACTGCAGTAACACTGACGTGGTGTTGGTGTGTTAGTGTGTGTTGCGCTGGTCTGAGTGGATCAGACACAGCAGTGCTGCTGGACACTGTGTCCACTCTCTGTCCACTCTATTAGACACTCCTACCTTGTCGGTCCACCTTGTAGATGTACAGTCAGAGACGATAGCTCATCTGCTGCTGCACAGTTTGTGTTGGTCATCCTCTAGTCCTTCATCAGTGGTCACAGGACGCTGCCCACAGGACGCTGTTGGCTGGATATTTTTGGTTGGTGGACTATTCTCAGTCCAGCAGTGACACTGAGGTGTTTGGTCACAGTGTATACTTGGCCACTATATGTGCTGATGAAATTATTAAAATACCTATGTTACTAATAATTCCTAATGTGAGATTCGCTATTGTAAGTGGCTCTGCATAAGAGCCTCTGATAAATAATGTGATATATTTACAAAATTATAATGTATTAATTAGTGAATAATCAATTTTAACATCCGTGCACTTCATATATACACTGATCAGGCACAACATTATGACCACCTCCTTGTTTCTACGCTCAAAAACTCCAGCAGCACTGCTGTGTCTGATCCACTCAGACCAGCACAACACACACTAACACACCACCACCACGTCAGTGTTACTGCAGTGCTGAGAATGATCCACCACCCAAATAGTACCTGCTCTGTGAGGGTCCATGGGGGTCCTGACCACTGAAGAACAGGGTAAAAGGGGGCTAACAAAGTATCAGAGAAACAGATGGACTACAGTCTGTAACTGTAGAACTACAAAGTGCACCTATATAGTAAGTGGAGCTGATAAAATGGACAATGAGCGTAGAAACAAGGAGGTGGTCATAATAAAGTGCTCAGTGAGTGAATTTAGTCTATATGTAGAGAATGGAATGGACGTCCATCTGTTCTGACAGTGGGATTCTCTTTGTTTTGAGAGAGTTCGTTTTCTATAGAATGGGTTTCTGCTTCTGTGGTTGGAATGAATATTAAGATAAACATTAACGCGTTTGGTTTATGAGAGATCTTAGCTTATATTCAAATACCACTGTCAATTGACTAACACGGTTAACGAGTTAAGTAGCTATTTTGCATGAAACCTTCAGTAATGGCTGTTATTCAGTTTCTGGAGTCTACTGTCCTGTTAGTGTGTTTCGGTCCTCATTTGCTCATTTATAAGATGATAAATATTTATATTTTAGAGCAGTAAATTATAATTTGTTTGCCATATTGTTCATTCCAGTACAGAGGACTAAGAGCCCTGACTGGGAAATATTGAATACACTGGGGACAAGGCTTCTGCTCTGCTCTTTAATGATCAGTCAATAAAGACAGTTAGCTGTCATTGACATGATTATATAAAGTTGATATGTCACTAACTTAAAAATGAAAATGCTGTAAAATGTTCATATGATTCACACAGTCATTCTGACAGACTGTAATACACTACAGGAAGTGTAGGGGGCGATATGGCTTCTACTGTTTCATTTAAAAAGCTCTATAATGTTCATGTGATCCACACAGTCACTCTGACAGACTGTAATACACTACAGGAAGTGTAGGGGGCGATATGGCTTCTACTGTTTCATTTAAAAAGCTCTATAATGTTCATATGATCCACACAGTCATTCTGACAGACTGTAATACACTACAGGAAGTGTAGGGGGCGATATAGCTTCTACTGTTTCATTTAAAAAAACCACCAACACAGTAGTTACAGTAGTTACATTTACTTGAGTACATGTACTTAAGTAAAATACTGATGGATTTGTCCTCTCCTGAGTATTTTTAAATCAGAATACTTTCACTCCAGTATAGTAGTGAGTAAAGGGCTGTACTTTTTACTGATTTACCTTTTCCCATTCATATTTAGTTACTTTTTTGTGTTCAATTCCGTTATGTTTTGAAGGCGACAACATCTGTACTATTTTTTGATGGGTCACATTTCTGACTTTGGAGCTTTAGCATTTTATTTTAGACCAAAAATATCCCAAAAAGAGAAGAATAGAGCCATGTAATCTTTAGTTTCTGTGCTGATAGATGCTGGATTTATAAAAACAGTTCCACGCAGTTCTAAATTACTCAGTATTTAAGTAGTTTTTGACCTGATACTTTTGTACTTCTACTCAAGTTGTGTGTCGGCAAGGTACTTTTACCTGAATCGTTATTTTACCTAAGTATACATACTTTTACTTGAGTATAGATATAGGCTTCTCTACCCACCTCTGTTCACCGACAAGTCTTTCGTGATCATGAAATGTTAGAGGCGGTTAATTGCCATATAAATACTCCATAAACTAGTTAGTTGTCTTTGTTTGTCCTCTGTATGCAACTATTAACCTCTTATTCTCCAGGGTATATTTTGGTTTGTCCATCTGAATTTACATGACCAAACCGTAAGGCAAATTATTCAGTAACTGCATGAAATAAATGTAAATTTTTATTTTATTTATTTATTTTTTTGTAAAAGCTCCCCTCAAATTAACAGAACGTGTGTTTTATGATCACACATATTGCTATATGCTTACAATTTACTGCTGAAAGCCAAAAATCTTAGACGCTCTTTGTATTATTTTATAAAATTATGTTTACAGAGCAGATCACTGAAGAGACGCCATCTGTTTATAGTTCATAGCCCAGATTTGTGGAAAAATGGGTCGACTTTCAGTAGACAAAAAACTGAGTTCAGCTTCTTTTATTATAAGGGTTTAAAATGACATCACCCATCTATTTGACTGGAAAGAAGACAGTTACAGCTCTCATACGACCCCCACCTTTAGAATGTAGCTTATGAAATATGAAAGTTATGAAGAATATGACGAAGTGCTTTTTGGAACCACCGGTGGCCTCAAGGTGTTGAAGAGGTTAAAGTATAAGCTTGAATTTGCCAGATTGGCTGATTAGCTGTTTTGCTTCCCGGCTTAAGATACTCAACGGCTTCCAACTCAAATAAACAAACATTGCTCACTGCCGCCCTCTATAGGTCACATAGCACCAGTCAGAAGTTAGAGCTGTTGTTTTTTTGTAAGACCCATGATGTGGTGGATAAACAAACATGTTCTGCTTTGTTTCATTCACATGTGTTTGCCTCAGTCCAGCAAATGAACACACACTGAAAACAGAGCCAATTCACATTCTGTTTGTTGCAACGTGATGTGATTGTGAAAAAGCTGTGTGGAAAACAGTTGCGGTCGTCTTAAATAGTTGCAGTCGGATGATTGTGTAATAATGGTGACAGAGCACTATTACGTCACCAGTAAGAGCACCAGAATATGAACTAGGACAGCATTTTGACTTGTAAATCACTATTTTTAGAATTATGACTTCACAAATAGATCTCTAGAGTAGCTTAATCCTCTTGGAAAGCTAATGTTATGAGCTTTAATGTTAGACTCCACAGATTGCTTAGTGTTTTTGCTCATATTTTCACACTCAACAGAGAAAATTCTCTGTTTTGTTTGATTCTACATACGATTCTGGGTAACTGTAGACGTTTGTGTGAATGTATAAGTGTGCAGTATTGTTTAATGTCAACACAGCTAGAGATAAGCTTAGGTAACTAGTAAGCAGATTAGCTAACTAGCCAGATTAGATGCTTTAGAGTGGCGTAAAATGACTATAAAGAAAATTAAATCGTTAATTGTGGTTATTATGAAGGTTCCAGCTGTCTTTCAAGCAGATGGGAAATGAAAATGAACTAGAACTAGTACCATTTTTGTTTTTTTGGATGTAGAGTGGAAAAAAACGTATAATGTTCGCAGTGAAATCGCTAAACAGATGACAAAAAATAACTGAATATCTGAATATAATATTTAATGCAGTTCTTAAATGAATATAGTCGTTATTTGCCTGACAAGATCTCAGATTTACGTTGCTTTAAAAACTATTGATTAGTTGGGTTATTCTCATGAGCAAATACTAGGACCCAACTTGAAAAAAATTAAATGACTTGAATAATAACAAACACAAATGATTTACTTGATTTTAATTAGATTTTTAGTAATATTTTCCAGTTTCAGTGACCAAATTCTTCTTTTTTTTAATTGTCTTATTCACAGTGTGTACACTGCTGTCAGACTAAGCATTTTAAAGCTAGTGTTTTTAAAAATATAAATATTGCATTTTTCATGTTTTAGCTCATTATCGCAACACATTGACAGCCATTGAGGTTTTTCTTTTGTCTTGTGTTACAAAACTTTGTTGTTTTTGTTCATGTTCTTACAGTTTACATGCAAAATATTGAAGTCAACAGATTCAACAGTAATAATATAATATAATGCACATTTTTTCTAATTAAGTGTCTAATTGTGTCGGTAATGGGAAACGTGGACACATTGCAGTGATGAGAATTATTAAAAATGCCAAAAACTTAAACTCCT